GTACATCATATTTTAAAAAATACAGCTGTTCAAAATGTAAACAAACCGTTTGTTTATATACGATCTTGACTTCCACTTTATTCTTTAACCTGCATTTTTTACTGGGCGATGGCGACATCTAAGGCTCTATCTCGTTCTAAATCTATTTTAGCAAATATTGAATCATGCAATCATATAATTCGTGTGATTTCTAATCTTCCTTGCAGATACTTGCAGCCATAAAAAACACAGTAAGGGAAGCCGAAGAAATCATCTGTTTAAGATATTGTACTAGTACTGAATATACGTGATTATAAAGGGGAATAAAATATGGGTGAAATATGGGTCTTTCTTTATTTTGTGTTTAAATTTTGTTTGCAAAAGGTAGTCAGCGACTTTTGTTTGTACGAAAAGAGTAGGTTCATTCGGCATATTAAACGTTGTAAAGTTGTGCGGCAGGCTCTTTTTGGGGGCGGACCTGGGCATTGCGCGAAAAATCGAGTACAAATTGAAGCTTCCTAATAGGGGAAAATAACTTTCCCTGATTGGCTAAAATCTCGACGCCCGGATGTAAACTCTTATTCCCGGATGCAAAGCCGCGACGTTCAGGAAGAGCATCGATTTTTTTCAGCATAGTTTAAGCACAGACTAAAAGCTCAAAATCAACATGAATGCCTGGACTTTTATAGTACAAAACAAGTTTTGGAACGGTAAAAATGATGTCGAAGAGCAGTATTTTCTTCATTTTCCACGATATAAAAGGAAATTCCTCAATCCCCAATTTTTCACCACAAATAAATGTAAAACAGTCAGGACTATATTGCCTCTACACCGCCTGCATTTCAGGCTGTGCCTGTTGTACTCAGCGAATTAGTTCACGTCCTATAAAAGAGAAAATCTTTCCTTTCCTTCAAGATCTCTCAAACTAGTATATTAATTTATAACCAATTAATTCCAACAAGTTTTCTTAATCATTTATTTGACCTCTATTTAATATGAACGTATAATTGTAACGTTGACTTTCTATGAATTTTATTTTACACATGTCATTTTCAGTTTTCATGTTATTCGTATACTCTGAAAACACGTACTGTAGCTGCGTTAAAATTTGCTAGTTAATAGTATATGTAATTGTATGGTTTTGAGTGCAATTTAGATATGACATGCACGAGTGAGTCCGAAGGACGAGTGCTATTTGAGGTCTTTGAAAAACTCACGAGTGCATGTTTATCCAAATTTCACAAGAAACCATGCCAATACGTATTACTAATTTACATAAACTAGTATTCAAGACAATCAAATTTGAACTTGGTTAAGTGTGGGAATCTTTCCGCACTGCTAAATGCGGCCATGTTTGTTTTGAAAAAAGAATATTTAAAATTTTTTCCCGCCAAAACTTAGCTCAATTTTGATTGGTTCATAGTGATTACAGAAAATTGCAATGTGATTACAGATTTTGCACCGCTATTTGGGATTAACTGCACTGAAATCAACCAATCACAGACGAGAAATACTTTTATGTATGATATTATCCACCCATGATAGATAGTAAATAGATTATTGGTTAATATCACTATGTCTATGGTTAAATGAACTGTAGTCAGTTATTTCCTAAATTATAGTAAATGTTCTTGCCAATACAAAATCTGAGCAACAGCCCATATAAGTCGTATGATGATTGTCCTGGCGAGCACTTCTAGCAATTTTTCACCAACAACAGTACAGGAATCAATGCATGGTCTCACGACGTTTTGATTTCACTAATTAATGCTTTAATGTTTCTGGATGTTGATTGTGAATTTGCCTATATGGAAAACAAGATAATAATATGTTATTCAGTATAACTTGAAAATAAAAATTTTGTTCAGGGCTAGCTTACAAAGAGCGGTTTAACTTTGCCCAGAACAAGTAAAAATCATTATGGGCAAGTAGAAGTTCCCTTTGCCTGGGATGCCCGATCGGGCAAATTGTTTTGCCAGAAATTAGTTGCTACACAAAACTGTTTGCTTGTTTGCAGTATGTTATGCATTCTGTTCATTTGATTCTTTTGAGTAAAAAAGCTAAAATCATCACTTATGATTAAGTCTTCAAATGACTTTGTTAAGAAAAACATAGGATTCGAATGTTGATTAAGCAATCCTTACTGCAATGACTTGCTTCCAATTTTGCTAATATGTTAGGACAAAACTAGACCTGATGGCAAGTGGATTTTATTCCGGACATTTGTCAACCAATTTTCATGT